GTCAAAGGTTGGACGATGTATTGTCCGGATTGTTTTAAACCGATCAAATGTCGACCGGGTTATGATTAGTAAGAATAGTTATCTTTTTGAACTGAGAAGTAGGAATATGACCATTTGGTGGCCGGATTGTTTTAAATCGGTTAAATTGTGAGCGGGGTATTGTCCGGACTTGTTATCCAGACAAAGATGTTGATTTCGATTCTAAGTGTTAATCGGTCAAGCTTTATGCGGTGTGTTGTCCGGACTGTTGACCGAAGATGAAGTCCGGCTAAATCAAGTGACCGGATTTGAAGTGATGCCTTGTGTTTTTGATAAGAAATGTTATTTTATCATAAAAAGGAAGTTTTGAAATAAATGATTTTGTATTGATAATAATTTCAATGACTGTGGTCTATTTGGAATTGTTTTATGAAATATTTTGATGAGGAAATAAGGGTGGCATATCAAGGAGAGGTGTACCATGGGATAAGGGTGGCATATCAAGGAGAGGTGTACCATGCGATAAGGGTGACATATCAAGGAGATGTGTATATTTGGATATAAGGGTGGCATTTGTATGTGTGATTGTATGATATAACTCTTTCTATTATATCCTTTAAGATTACTGTGTTCCGGAAATCTTTATTTCTTTGTGATTTAAAAATTTAGGATCAAGGTTCTTATTGGAAATCATAGTCTGGATGTTATTGASGAGAAAACATCAGGTTTGGCCTGAAACTTTATTTAAACCTTGTTTTGATTTGAAAAGGTTTAAAAGTGGCATTATGTGAAACCTGATTGGTTCTGAGATATGGGATTTATATAGCTAAAAGCTTTGCTTGAAATGTGGAAAAGATCTAGTATTATGTTCTTATTTATTCATATATTTGTTATATATATGAAATGTTGTTTTCCATAAAGATTTTGGTGATTTTTCACCCTGCAATAACATAAATAGGGCATGTCACTAGACCTTTCGGTCTAACCCTCGTTTTGTGATTTTAACTATGTGTTGCAGGAGATATGGACGGTAAGGGAAAGGGGAAAATGTGATATTTTCCTATATGCATTTCTACTTGAAGATATGTTTTGATGTACAGTTTTGATCAATTAGTACAAGTAATGTATTTGAATTTTTAGACCTTGTATTTGGTCATAATAGATTCTTGTACTAAGGGACCTGAATGGAATGATATCATGTATTTCTTTTGTATGAAATATGTGTTACATGCAATGTATGGCTTGGGGTGTTACCCACTTATACTCATCAAAGAAGCCACATTTGCTGCATTTTCTTTATATATATATATATATATATATATATATATATATATCTATATATATATATATATCTATATATATATATATATCCCTACACATTTTCCAAGATCAATTAGTATCGTTTATTGATTTTCTATGAAACGTCAATCACGTGCACCTATACACACAGAGGAAGATTGTGGAGCTTTGAAAGATGTAACAGGGGTGTTCAACCTATATTTTTCAATTTCAAGTGTTAAAACTTTTGAAAGCAGTTTAAAGATAATAATACAATAGAGTGAAATGCAAAATGCGTTTCTGACTATAGTCTTTCTGTTGGCCATATAACCTGCAGTAGTGGTCTTCAAATGAAAAAGCATTTTAACAATTTTGTCCCTCCTCCATTACCAGCAACCCATGTCTGCTGAGATTGTCATGAGACAAGCACATGGTTCTTTATAAGGGTATGGACGCCAATCTATCATTATTTCTTCAATATGATTATGCAGAAAAAAATTTGCCTCACAGCCCTCACTCGTAAGCAGATAGGGCCCATGGCATCATACCCATGAACCCACCAAACCCCTAAACCCCATGAGGATAGATATGAAGAAACCCAATGACGGCGGCCTTTCCAGCTTCGGGAATTGGACCTCCGACCCAACTTTTTCTCAGACAAAGATTTTGGGTTGCAGCTATCATACTTTCATGTATCTTTTATCTTTGTGGTCTCCAAATATATAGAAATTTAAGTTTAATGTTGGGTGTTGATAATTGATAGTTTTTATAAAAGGAATAACTCACCTGAGAAGCCAACTCAGCAGTTGGTACCAGTATAACAACTCGAGGACTTTGAGGCAAAGATTTGGCATGTCCTTCGAGCTCATCTTGCCTAATACTCTGCACCACTGGTAAAAGATAAGCCAAAGTTTTCCCAGAGCCACTCTGATCAGCTATGACGCAGCTCTTTCCTCTAATAACATGCGGGAATGACATAGCCTGCATTCATTTTTTATATTTTAAGAAAAGAAAAGTTGTTCACAATAACTTAGCCACAGATGGGAGTAACCAGATATAATGTCATACTCACCATGAACAGCCCAGAACATGGAATTTGAGATATGGAGAATAGCCACCAATAGTAATGAATTAAAAAGGAAGGGATTAATTTTGAGGAACAAGCACCCCTAAAGATGTTGAAACAAGAAAGAAAAAAACAAATTACATAAATCATAGCATGAGTTGGGCTGTTTGTTAGAAGCTTAATGGGACTCAGCTTATTCGGTCAGCTATACATGACTGTTTAGTAGTGGCTTAATGATATAGAAAATGACTTAGCTTCTAGGGTGGGGGAGCTTTATGCATCAAGCCAAGTTTTTTCAAACCTGTCCCTCCCAATTAAAATACACGCTCCTTCCATCTATGAAAAAACCTTCCCAATCCACACATACAGTGATACAACTTTATCCATACAGGACTTAATAGAAAACCAATAAAACAGCCCTTTAGGCTTAATCAGCAATTCCAGACCTCTGCTGTTAAAAACTGCCCTCATCTTCCTTTAACTTTAATTAACAATATGACCTTTGTGATCCCCAGCTCCTAATTCGTTAGCTATTTTGCATTAAATCAGTCTCCATTACATGGCTATTTTTATGATAGCAATCATCATGGATCCCCTTTTTCGAGTTCGTTATTTAATAAATGGATTTATTTGGTCTTGGGGATGGGGTTGAAAATAAGATTTTCCAATTCCTGACGTTCATCAAGAAAAACCCAATCATCATTCAAGTTAAAATAGAAACACAGGAAAGAAAGAAGGTGATAAATATTACCATCCTTCTTCCTTTGCAATAGTGGCACCACACCACAGCACCTCCACAGAGAACAGCTTTCCAAAATCCCCAAGACCATCATTATAATTACCAGATCATAAACTAAACACAAATATAACCATGTGAGAGGGAGAAACACACACTGATCTGGTTTGTTTTCACTAGACCAACAACGGTTGTCAGCAAAAGATGAAAAATCCTTGGGCTACAATGGTGGAAAAAAGACTAGTTGTCATCAACATTTTCATTCTACACCTAATATTATTTATAAAAACAAATAAATGTGCATAATCCAACTGTCATATCCCTAAAACTAGTTACGTGCATCACAATAGGGGTAAATTGTTACACTTAAGGAAGATGAGCAACTTCTGAAGTCTAGMAACCAAAATGTAGATTGAACATAAGTTGAGATTAATGTAATTCACTTGAATTGAAATTAATAGCATGGAATATCAGTAAAACCACCATTTTCCCTAAAAAAAAAAAGAAGCAAGTACCTTCCAAAATTGAACTTCAATATAATAATAACTTGACAAACAATTTAAAGATCTCGGATCATGGGTCTTTTTAGTTTTTCCATATTGAGAAACAAGAAGACAAGAATTAGTACCTGAATATGTGAAGGGTATGCAATAAGCTGGCTGCCTAAACACTGAAGCATGTAATCAGTGCATCCCAGATCCTTAAAGGATTTTCTGCTAAAAAAATCACCAGCAGTGTTTGATTTCCGTAGTTTACTTGAAACATTCATTGATATCTGTCCAAGTTCGTTGGCCCTAGGTCCTCTTTGGGAAGAACTGGAGTCCCTACTTGCTGAAATGCTACCATCAACTTCTTCTGAAACATCTTTTGTAACATTTAATCTATTTTGTTTAGCCACAATTTTTTCCTCTTGTGCTGAAGAAATAGGTTCACTACTCGAGTTTCCATCTTTTTGGTCCCTTTCCCAAGAGGATACCCTGCCAAGATCCCTCACCCTATGCGCTCTCAATCTTTCAAAACTTCGAGATACCCCCTTGGCACTTGCTGCAAAGTTATATATAACTTTTTAGGACCAAAACAAAGAAAACTTTAAATTTGATCGGAGTTGTTGATGTGTATAATTGATCATAGAAGAAGAATTCTCCTTCCGCTGGACCATAGGGGACGAGGGTCATAAAAAAAACACGAAAAATCGGATTATGTTGGTTAAGAGTATTTAAATTAACTTTTAATCATACACAAAGCTGCATTGGTCCATTTTATGCATGCTACCAAATTCCCTAGACAGTCTTCTCTAAGCATACAATTATGTTGGCACTGTGTAATCAACTTGCGTACTTGAGATTAGAATTTTCATAACTCTTCGTAAGATGACCACAAGATATGGCCTTATATTCACTTTCTTTTAGCAGCTAATGAATTTAATGGGACTCACACAACTTATTCAACTATACATAACTATGCATAACTGTTTGAGATAGTGGCATATAAAAAGTGGCTTATTCAGTAAGGGGATGCTCTTTGGAAAAAAAACCCTCACAATCTCATATACAATCTTCACACTCAGTTTTACCCATACCGGACATAAATGAAAACCAACCAAACAAAGCAAATTTCGAAAAGTTCTGCTTGTGGAAACTTACAGGAAGGAGACAATACATTCAGTGGTCGACACCCAGGTGATTAAGGAAAAAAATAGACATTAAAGAACAATAACAGCACCTCTAGGTCTGGTAATGGCAGCGGAATTGTTTGCCAAATGATTGCTTCTGCCTTTCTTGCTATTATTGGAAGGTTCCCAATGAAGAACTTCTTTGGAAGGGATAGGGGCTTGGTAGTCGTTGTCATCAGTTCCTCCCCAAACGATGAACTTATCCCCAGTGTCCTCGTCTATAAGCTCATAAGCTCCAGGGGTTTCCAATGGCTTCTTGGTGTAGCCAGCTCTGACCATTACGACCCCCCTTGTTGCAGATTTCGTGCCACCAACACCAATCTCATTGCAACTATCATAAGAACAAAACGTTGAGTTTGAGACGGCATTGAAACTACATTTGAAATTTATGGGTATTGCCGGAGGTGAAGCTTTGAGAAACATTGCATTAACAGGTGCCAAAATGCCCCAAAATTTCAACCGGGTGATCTTAGAAAGAGAACGACCAATTCAAACCAACATTGCAGGCAGGCTCAATAGGATAACGTTTTGGGTGGCCCGTCAACCCAAGCTACAACATTTTCGTTTCATCCGTAAACCGTGTTTGGATTGCTTATTTAAAATAACTTATATTTTTTTTAACAGAAAATTGTATTAAAATGAAACTAACTTTCACCTAATTTCTATTTTGGAGAACAAATTTTCAAAATCGTCATTTTGGAGACCAATTTACACCTGATTCCTATTTTGGGGAACTAACTTTCAAAATCGTCATTTTGGAAAACCAACTTGCACCTGATTCCTATTTTAGGGAATCAACTTGCAAAATAATTAAAGAAAAATAACTAAAATTCGTTTTTTTATAAAAATTAATGCAATAAAATCTATTTTTCATTTCAAATCTCGTTTTTTTAATTAAGATATCAAATTGAACATTTTTTTTAAAAAATCCAAATTACCACGATAATTTTTTTTTTTTTATTAATGCAAAAAAAAATCAATTTAATAGAAAAAAGTAATTAATGCAATAAAAAATAAATATTAAATATCACATTCAAGATTTTTATATCTAACCAATTACATCAATTAATTTTTTTCTATTATATTGATTTTTTTTTGTATTAGTAAAAAAAAAAATTATTGTGGTAATTTGGACTTTTTTTAAAAATGTTCAATTTGAATCTGAATTAAAAAAACGAGATTTGAAATGAAAAATAGATTTTATTGCATTAAATTTTTTTTTAAAACGAATTTTAGTTGTTTTTCTATAATTATTTTGTAAGTTGGTTCCCAAAATAGAAATCAGGTGCAAGTTGGTTCACCAAAATGACGATTTTGAAAGTTGGTTCCCCAAAATAGGAATCAGGTGCAAGTTGGTTCCCCAAAATAGGAATCAGGTGCAAGTTGGTTCTCCAAAATGACGATTTTGAAAGTTGGTTCCCCAAAATATGAATTAGGTAAAAGTTGGTTCCATTTTGGTGCAATTTTCCCTTTTTGTAAAAGTGTTTATTAACTTATGTGATATCAAACCGGAGTTAAATAAAACAGGGTTAAAATTGTAAACTGGTAATATGCAGTTTTTCATAAGTCAGGAAGAATTAACTTATCAAAAACAGCTTATTACCGGTTTGGCATCGGTATAAGCAGTTTTTTTTCCTTATCCAAACACCAGAAAATAGCTTATCACTGTGCCAGACTGAAATAAGTTAAAAAGTAGCTTTTATAAGCAATCCCAAACACCCCCTAAATATAACGATTGAAGTGGCCAAATTTAACGATAGTTGTCTACTTCTCTCGTACAACATTGACTAGCGTGTTTGGATTGCTTATAAAAATAACTTATTAACTTATTTTAGTGTGGCACTGGTAATAAACATTTTTGAGTGTTTGGATAAACAACTTATACTGGCACCAAACCGGTAATAAGAAGTTTTTAAAGGTATTAAACCATTCTAACTTATAATAAGTTGATAAGCATTTTTGTAGAAAAGCATAAATTATTTCAAATAAGCAATCCCAAATACTCCCTGAGAATGTTGTTTTTTAGGGGTGCGTTTAGTATGCAAACTGGATAGAATGGGACAGGACAAAAATAAATAGTCTCGTTTTTGGTCTGCCATGAGACAAAAATGAGATGGAACGATATGGGACAAAGTAAGATTGAGTGGGACTACTCTTGAGATTTTTTGTTCCATCCAATATGGTAGAACAACATGGGACTAAATTTGAGATTACAATGTTGCCATTATTATTTGATATCAAAATACAAACCTAATTTAATTGCATCCTCTTTCTTCTTTTCCACAGCCTTCATTCTCGATTCCAGCCTCCATTCTTGAAATGTTAAACCTTTGACAGTGTTTTGACAAATGTTATTTATTATTGTTGTGTCTAAACTTTTTAAATTATGTGCGTATTTAGAATTTGTGGTATGACAAATGTTATTTACATGTGCCCTTGAAATGTTAAAAAAAGTATTGATATCATAGATTAAATAATTTAAATATATTTTTGGTTGATTTGTTGTCATTTACAATCATTATATGATATAAAATAACATTGAACAACATTTAGGGGTAATATGGTCATTTTAACAGTTTTGTCATGTCCTATCATAGTCGTACCAAACATAGGACAAACAATTAGTCATGTTCCGTCCCGTCCTGTTCTGTCTCATTCAGTCTGCGTACTAAACACTACCTAGAGGAAGAATAGTGTTGATCGGGTTATCCAACAGTTTTACTTTTTAGGATGCTTCAAAATTTTCTCACGAAATAACAACCAAACATTAAATCAACGTTGCAGGACATTTTTTCTTGTGGGTTTTGAAAAATAGACTTGTGGGTTGACTTGTTGGTTTTTGCGCAATGACTGGCACGTTCGTGATTTGAAGCGGTATTCAGTGATTACAACCTAGTCAACATACGTGTGAAGACTACACAAGCCTCAGTGAATGCTGAAGAGACCTCCAGCGTTATTCCAGCATTCAGCGATCAAATGAAGCTTGTCATGCATGATTGTTTTTGTCTTGTCCTTCCACACACAAAGGACAAACCCATACCCTTTCAAAAGTATAGTACTGCACGGAGCCGACTAGTCGACTCTAGTGCCCACCAACTCCATGAAAGACAATAGTATTTTTTCACTGTTGCAAAGGACAAGCTTTTCTCTAAAAGCTTGACGCGTGTTCTAACCCTTCTGAATTGCATTTAATGCAATGGGTATAAATAGTTGAGTGCTCTCCTCATCCACTACATCTATAACACACAAAAAAGAACATATACGTTTATCTTCAAGCAAGTTAGAATTTCTCTCTAATTCTAAAGTTCTTACCCAAGAAGAACATCATTCTGTCTTTTTATCTTATTCGGCAAATTTCTTATATTTGCTAAGTATTTTTGTGTGTAATCTTAGATTATTTTAGATAGGTTATCTTTACCTTTTCTATTTCTGCAAACAATTTGTAAATAACTGTATTGATCCTTCTATATCAATATATATTTTTAAAACTGAAAGTTTTTTGTGTTTGTGTTCATCCCCCCCCCCTTTCTACAAATTGTTCACCTCTAAACTCTTGTAGACCTAGCTGGGACCAACAAGTGGTATCAGAGCAGTGTTTTATTCTCGTATTGTTTAGTTGTTTATCTGCATTTTATTATCTCTTCTTCTCTAGATAAATTTACTATTTTACAAATGGCTTTACAAAACACTAACACCAACTTTCACGATAATGGCTTACTTGCCAAACCTCCCCGGTTTATAAGAGACAACTTCAATCTCTGGAAAACAGATGTCTCTCTTCTTGAAGGGTGTGGATCCTGAGATCCCACACCATATAGAGAATAGACCTTATGTTCCATATGCTATATCTCCGGCTGTTCCTGAAACAACTACGACTACAGCGATTCCTGAACGGCAGATTCCAAAGCTCCCTCATCAATGAAGTGATGAAGACAAGAAGAAGGTGGATATAGATACTCGAGCGAGATCTATAATGGCCATGTCTCTTCCTTATGAGGTTTATCATTTTGTTATGAAGCTTAAAACCTCGAAATCCATGTGGGACACTCTTTGTGTTCAATATGAAGGTACTTCCCAAGTACAAGAATCGAGGAAGATTAATCTAGAAAGACAATACTAAAGCTTTCTCTATGGAAAGAATGAAATATTGTCTGAAGTACATCAAAGATTTAATTGTCTTCTTATCAATTTGAGGACTGTTGGTAGGGAATATTCCAATTCTGAAACTTTGACGAAGTTTCTGGAATGTTTGCCAGAATCTTGGGATACATATTCTATGTGTCTCAAAATGTCCAATGATATGTCTTCCCTCTTTCTAAGTTCTCTCTACGGGATACTGCTTAATCATGAGCAGTCTTGTCAACTGAAGAGGAATCTTATCAAAGATTCCAAAGAAATGAAAAACTCTCCTTTAGCTTTGATCTTTGAAGATTCTTCAACTTGTATCCCATCTTCTTCTTCTATTCCTCTTGCTTATTCTGTTTAACTCTGAGGAGTTGTTAGAGTCTAATCTTGCAGACTTTGATGAGTCACTGGCTCTTCTAACCAACTCATTTACAAGATTTTCCAGAAAAAGTAACTTCCGCAGATTCCTTCGCTGACCATCAAGGATAAGCCAAAGTCAGATCTTATTGACAAGGCTTCAGCGATCTGCTACAACTGTCAACGCAAAGGTCACTTTGCGAGTGAATGCAGGTTAAAGAAGACTGTGACGCCATCTTCAAAAACCCATCCTCTTTCAGGTCCAAAGACGATAAATATCTGAAGCTGAAGGAGAAGTATAAGAAGATGAAGAGTTCTTAGCGAAAGGGCAAAGGTATTGTCACTATAGAACATGACTGGTTGATTCTTTTGACGAATCATTCTCAGATGAGGAAGACACGGCCTATCTCTGCTTAATGGCCAAGGATGTCAAGGAAGAAACTTCTGAGACATCAACCTCCAGTGATCCCTCATCATCCTCTCTTGCTCAGGAAGTCAAAAGCATTTGGTATCTCGATAATGGATGCTCAAGACATATGACTGGAGATAAATCCCTGCTCATCGATTAGAAGGATGAAAGAGGCCCTTCTATAACTTCTAGAGGAAATGGAAAAGTATATACCAAAGGTTTATGTGTATTAACCAATTGTACAACTACTTTCAAACGTGTTGCATATGTTGAAGGACTGAAACACAATCTTCTTAGCATCAGTCAGCTATGTGATAAATATTTCACAGTAAAATTTTCTAAGAATTCATGCTACATCTTCAACAAGGATGATAAGGTTGCTCTAACCGGTTCTCGCCTAGAGAATATATATATATATATATATATAATCAACATGGATTCTCCTCTTACTGAGAACAACTATTTTCTCTCAAAAGCTTCTTCATATATCAACTGGCTGTGGCACAAACGACTTTCTCATTTCAACTTCAAGACACTTAGTGAGCTATCTCGAAATGATCTCGTTATTGGTCTTCCTCAATACGCCTTTACAAAGGAATCTCTTTGCTCAGCGTGTGAAAAAGGAAAACGGACAAGAGCTAGCTTCAAGTCTAAGCAAATATCTTCATTGACTTC